GGAAGCTTGTTCCAAGTCAGTGTTTTCCAAACCATGAGTTGTAATTTTTAGGGGATGGTGAAATCAGTTTAGTACATCGAGAACACCATTTTCGTTTTTTAATGGAATGGGAAAGAACAGAACACGATGGGGAATATCTCGCAGTGTATCACATATCAAGGATACTCGAGAGATTTCATCCTAGTTCTTCATATCTGTGTGTCCCCAGTAGTGATATAAAATGTATTTCTCTATGTGGGTCTAATCAAACAAAAAGTTTGAGAAGCACTGTTCTTTGCAAAAGGACATTCAGAAATAACAATCGTGCATTGTATTGATGCTGGCCTTACTCCCAGAAAGAGAGGGACATTTCAGATGACAGCATCATTCTCCTGTCTGGCCCAATGCGGCGGAATTGTTAGCTGTAGCTTTTAGACTGGCATATGTACAGTAATTTAGTGAATCCCCGCCTCCGGTTGAGACTTGGAGAAAGGCAAGTGTGTCAGCCAGAAAATAAATAGATGAAACTTTGCATAACACACGCATATCTAACCTGTTAAAGTAGCCCGCAAAGTAGTGACTTCCTAGGTTTGTTTGCAATTTAAATTGGTAGTTGTCTAACAAATTACAAGAATCACCAGGACCAGATCTAGTAATGATGTGTGTGTATGGGGGTGGGGTATGAAGGAGTAAGAGTTCAACTGTCTAAATTTGCTAAAATGGAGCTTCTCAATTCTCCATTTGTCACACAGATACGTTCATCACCTCATATCGCAATTAGGTATGCCAGGTGCAGATGATATAAAGACAAGTAGATCATAATCCCTATTATCCGGTGACTGGTAGGGAACAAAAACCTGAAAAAATATGTGTGTGTGGGGGGGGGTGAGTGCCATAATAGCAGCATGAATAGGCATAATCACAGCACTAAAGAGAAAAATGCTTAGTTTTGTCTGCAGAATGCTCCTGAAAGATCTTATCTTAAGATAAGATAAGATGATTCTATAGCTGATTCTTAAAGGACCAGAGGAGGAATCACTGAGGATAAGAGGGTAATTATTAATCATTGATAAATTGCATTGTAATGAGCAAGTGTTATGAAACTGGAGAGAAAGTATCATGCCAGGTTTTCAAAATATAGTTTATTTAGGAAATAGGTTATAATTCAGAGGAGAGATATATTTAGGAAATGCAGGAAAAATAAGAATGACTCATGGGCAAGACAGTCTGATAATTGACATAAAAGGTACAAGCATGGATGGTTGTAAAAAAAGGATATTAATTATTTGAACTCAAACAATTTTAGCTGCTTATTAAGCCCACCAGGGACAAATTTGTAATGCAACCAAGTTAGGTTTATTGGCTTTTTGCAGCAAAGGACACTGCACAGCAGAGGAATTGTGAGTGTGTCTCCCCAAAAGGGAAGAAATAGGAGTTGTTATAGAATTAGGGGAAGGGAGAGAGTTACATAAAGTCTAAGTGAAACAGTACTTACAGGCCCTGAAGCAAAGCAAATCTGTGTTTGGGGCTGATAATCAGATCTGGGTTGAGAAACAGACTGAGTTCTTTTTCCTTGGAAATATAAATTAAAAATTAATATAGAATATTGGGCCCAAAGCCCCCTTTTCTGAACCTCTGCATATTCTTACTAATATCAGTTCCAAAGATGTAAGACTTATCTTCATTAAATTGGGGGAAGCCTTTCTGTGAACAAGACTCCTCCACACAAAGTCCTTTGATAATTAAAGCAGATTTTAGGATCATGCTTTTTGATATCAAATAGCTGGGAGGGGGGTGTGATTTTATTGGGAGATCTCCAGGAGTTCTCAATTGTAAAGAATGTCAGCTGCTGTGAACAGGGAGAAAAGGGACATATAGAGTTGGGGGATCTGGAAAACCTCCTGAGATGGTGCGTTAACGGCCTCCACTGTCCCTGGTGGTCCGTCCTTACTGGTATTCATGCTCCTGTGTATATAATGTCCCTCACAGCACAGCTGGACATGACCAGAAGAGTCTAGTGAAGTGTGTGACTTCTGACACCAGATCAGAAAAGATATGTGGTTTCCATGTTCTCGGATTGTTTGCTCCTGGGGAAGCCAGATTCAAACAACCCGGAAGACAAATTTAAGCCTCCCACCAAGAGCCAGCACCAGCTCACCAGTCTTGGAAACAGACTTGCCAACCCCAGTCAATCTCGAATTGTCCTGTGAAAAATCCCTAATTTAGCAAGATCCTTCTAAACTCCTAACTCACAGACACTATGGGAGTTAAATGCTTATCATATAAGTCACTACATGTTGAGATAATTTGTTACACAGCTGATGTAATCTGGGCCAAGCCTTAAAAAATAGATAGAAGAAGGATCCTATTCAAGATCCTCCCCTGAATAGGAGCACCGATAAAGACCCAAGAAGGTACAAAGCAGGTTCAGGAAGATAATTAAATCTGGTGTGGATGAAGGTTTAAACAGGAGTGTGAAATGAGAAAAAAGTTTGAAAGTTTCAGTGGAGGTCAGCTTGTGAAAGCTCTGAAACACTAACCAGGTAGGATTTTTTTCTGCAAAACAGAATGTTGCTGTTTTTGTTTGTGTGTTTTTGTTTTTATTTTGAGAAGAGTAGTGACCTCAACTTTTCTTTAAGGAAGAATGTGCTCATGACAGAGTGTGAGATGAAGTGGTTGAGAATGTGAAAATGTAGAGGAGTTTGAACTCTGTTGAAATCATCTAGGTAAAAGGTCATCAGCCATTGAGGTAGGGCAACCTAGATCAAACAGGAAGGAAAAGACTGAATTCACATTGAGTGGAATGGGTGAGACTGTTACTTAAAAGGAAGAAAGTTTTTAAGATGACAGACTTTCTGGCTGAATGCCTGAGTGGATGATATTAACTGGAGGTCAGAAGTACAGAAGTGGTGTAAGCTTGTCAGGGAAGATGAAATGCAAATTCATAGATGCCTCACTAGTCCTCATCACCAAGAGAAACTCCAGGATCCTTAGCATCTTAAACAGGCAGTGATGAAGGGAATTCAGGGGAGGATCTAACTCTGCCCACCGTTCTGAATTCCTGCCCACCTTCCTGAATTCCAGTAGTCTCTTTCCCTCCAATATGCTGTTCCTTCAGCCTGAAATAACAGTCCCTTCCTTCTCTAAATCATCACTCCCAACTCTTAAATATATCCTTTAAGATGAAGCTTTGATGGTCTCCTATTCAAAAAGAAATGTCTTTTCTGGTCGCAAATCACCCCCTCTTTTGTCTACTTTTGTTTCATATATAACTTTTTAATGTATAATAGATGTCTGGGGAGGCGGGCATTATAACTTTTTTTTTAGGAGAAACTGCCAAGATCAATACATCAAGTCACCTGAAACATCATATTTGCTTAGAAAAGCATCACTTGAAAAACCCCTCTTACGGATACAAATGAAGGATAGGTGCTATTGGACTGGGGAAAGTATATGACAGGATGTTCTGGTAAAACCATTCATCCAAACACCCCTACTTAGCCTAAAACAACATCAGGAAATTTTGCCTAGAAGAACCTTTGGAAGGAAAGAAATTAAACTCTCAACCTGTTTACTCCTGAGGTTCAGCATTACTAGAACCTTTGTGATAGGCCAAATGAGTCCTCTTTGCTTTAGCTCGGGGTGCAAAAAGAGGAAGTAAGTCTTCAGGAAGAATGGGGAGTCTGAGCTGGTGACCTAGTTCAGCAGACCTCATGGCCGCCGGGGAAGCAGGTTCTAGAACACTACATGGTCATGAAGGCACCCACATTCGGCCACCTGTGAACTCTCCAGGTTGTTTGGAAACAATGTCCAAGCATGGAGAAGCCTCGAGAATCATGCCTTCAGCCCCTCCACAACGTGTGCATCTGGACCTCAAGGCAGGAGAACAAGGAAACTTGGGACTGAGTGAGAGTTAGGAGAGACAACCTGTAAGGATGAAAGTCCCGTACCAAAAATTCAGTCAGCAAACTACTTTGGAATTCCCAGTTACTTCCTTACCTGCCTTCCCTGTGGTTGTTCAAAGAATAGGGAAGACACTTATGAATGGAAATGGAGTATTTTCAAAATACCATTAAGTTTAGAAAGATATAAGAATTTATATAAGCTGTTACCTTTCATGCATAAAAGGGTACATGAAAATATGTGCCTTTATTTGCCTGTCTTTACAAAAAGAACCATTCAGGAAGAAATCAGGTAACAACAAAATTGATGAAATACAAGGGGAAGGAGAAAAGTGTGCAGTAGGGGCATGAAGTATCACTCAGCTATGACTGTCTTTTTACATAATTTTCACTCTTGAAAGCCTATTTATATTCTACATATTCAAATATTAAAATCAACCCCTAAGAATGGAGGAGAAGTTTAAAAAGGAACGCAAACAAAAACAAAAGAACTTACTGGCATTTCAGATGAATACCATATCCATACTGGAAGGGGTAAACGGGAGAAAAGACCCAAAGAAAGATGGAAGG